TCCTGAGCAGCAAATCAGCATATTAGAATGATTTCTGAAGGATCATGTCACTGTAGACTGGGGTAATGATGCTGAAAATTCAGCTTTGCATCACAGGAATAAATTACATTTTACAATATATTCAAATAGAAAACAGTTATTTTAAATTGTACAAATATTTCACAGTATTACTGTTTTTTTAATAAAAAAAGTACAGCCTTGGTGAGCATAAGAGTATCTCTGTGTTCAGCTATATACTGTATTATGTCGGTGACAGCAGTCATTATATCTGCTGCACGAGGGACCTACATAGCGTTACTCGAACCTTCTCACTCTCACAGTTTTCTCTCTCTCTCTTTGACCTTGATATGCTCAAATGTGTGTGTATGTGATGTGTGTGAGCTGCTTGTAGATATTCACACACATGCATTGATCCAGTAAGAACAATATACTTCCTCGACTCTTTTTCTCTCTTTCCACTTTCTCACTCACTAGCCCAAAAAACTCTGATTATAACCCATTTATCTTATTATAATGCACACAGACCTAATTATGTATGCAGCCTGACACTGATTATCCTTTTTTTTAAAGGGATAGTCCATCCAAAAATAAAATTCAGTCATTTACTCAACCTCATGTCGTTCCAAAACAGTGTTATATATAATGGCAATGAATGAGGACTGAAATGCAAAAAAACGCACTATTAAAATCTTCTACGTTTTCTGAAGCCATACGATAGTGATCACAAAACTACATTCCTGTGGCTCGGTGGTAGAGCACTGCATTAGCAGTGCATAAGGTTGTGGGTTCAATTCCAAGGGAACACACATACTGGTAAAAAATGTATAGCCTAAATGCACTGTAACTCGCTTTGTATAAAAGCGTCTGCTAAATGCATAAATTAATTATTAAATTCTTATTTTTATGTGAACTATCCCTTTAAAAGCTCTTTTTTTACAGCGGAATATCTTGTGATGATACATTATCCGTATGATACTTTCAAGACGGGACATAAGGAAGAAACTGAAGATGGATTTAGAGCTCGGTGAACCTCAACTGAAATACTGGCTCGAATCTTGTTTGTGATCCTCAATGAGTAGCACAACATGCCAGTATTATGAATGTCCTGTAGCTATAACGGCTCTCAGAAATTAACAATACAGATTGATTTTGCCTCTCCTCCTCCAGTCCACAGGCCCACAATCGTCCAATTCCTTTTACTAGCACTGCTAGATAAATGACACACAATGTATTCCCTCAGCATTTTTATCAATTTGTATTGAATTTTGTCCTAGATACCCTTTTTCTCTCCCAATAATGACACCCATGGGTCCCGTACAACACTGTGTGTGTGTTTGGACGGTAAGCCATATTTCAATTGAGACTTCTTATTCATTTCAAAATATACAGTGTTGTGCTTTAAAACTGTATTTAAGATTCAGTCTGACAGCAATTGTTTCTGATCAAAAGATGTAATCTCTTTATGATCAGGGATGGTTTATTCCTACTCCAAAAAATTCTGACAAGACTATGCCAGATCTCTCATACACATGTTCGCATACAGATGCCTAGAAAGAGAAAAATACGAGAGCAAGGAAGTAGAATGAGGGTTTTCTGGGCCAACACACCAGAGTGACTACGACAATGCGGAGCATTCAAGGGAAACTCAGGACAGCTTAAAGATTCCTTAAGATCCAGTCAAACAATTTTAGCTTCGGCCCCATGAGTGTGTGTAACAAACCTGTTGTTGTTTGTGTCTCGATGCTTCCTGCAGATGAAGATCTGATGGTGGCGGCTCTCTGTAACTGATGCAGGGCACCGAATGATGAGCGACCGAGTCATAAGTGAGAGGATGACCTTTCATAGTGGTGCAATTTTATTTAGTGTTTGCATAATTAGCTCATAAACTGTGCAGTGGGGTTTTGTACAGATGCGCCCCATAAATTCATATCAAGGGCTCATATTTACACTGGTCCACCTGTAAGAGGATTTGTGTCAATATAAAAGCTAGACTGCAGTCTATGAAGATTTATAGTTTACATTTGCAGTTAGGATTATTTCCTTTGGTATAGATTGTATTGTATTTTATATATAATAAGTTGAAATAAATATAATATTTTATACCACTGAAATGTTGAAATATTTCGAAATAGTTATGACGTAACAAAGCCACGTTTACTGAAATCACGTGACTTTGGCAGTTCGATACGCGCTCTGAATCGCTGGTTCAAAACAAATGATTCGTAAAGGTTGCGAAGCTTCATGAAGTGATGTTTCGAAAGCAGTTCGGAATACAGTTTGGGTACCTTTTTTCTGAGAGTGCATGTAAGAGAACATATATTTCTCCTAATTAATATGCATTAGGCATGGACGGTATGAGATTTTGATTTTTATTTTATATATTTTGTAATAATATTAGTAGTTGATAAAATGTTAAAATAAAAATTTTAAAAAAAGCAAACAAAATATATAATTAAAAATATGTAAATACTTTTAAATAAATATAGTTTAATTTTTTTTAAAGATATGATTTTAATAGTATATAAAATTAGTCATATTAAAATATATCATTAAAAATATGTAAATATACAACAAAAATATTTGTAGTTTTATTTTTGAAATATATGATTTTTACATTTTGTAATAAATACACACACGATATTATATTATATTAAAATATATAATTAAAAATATAAAATATGCAAATATAAAATATACATCATATATTTTAATATAAAAGAAAAATATATTTTTATAGCTTTATTTAAAAATATATATAATTTTTTATTATATTAATGTATTATACTGCGATAATTCATTCTGAACTGTTGACCACACTATTAGACCTCTTTAGTCTGCGAAATAATAAACTAATTAATAAAAAGCTGCAGTCGGCTGACATCTTTTCCTGCAGAGAGACAAATTCACCGTAAACGTTTCTGACATGTTATGCATGTCTAATTAGTTGAGCGAGATGTGTTTGGAAATCTCTTCACGTCGTCTGGTCCTGAGGACAGTATCCTGGGTGAAAGGTGACTGATGTTGAGTGATGTGTCCGTCGCGGTCGCCCTGTGAAAGGACTGAACAGGTGGCTTCTTGGACAGGGTTCCTGGTGATAAATGACATCTGTTCAGGGGCGCAAAAAAGATTTTGTTTAGTCACATAAAGAGGAAAAAATGGTGTGGCTCTTGGCCTTGGTCTGCAGTTGGATGAGGAACTGACCCTGTACAAATCCTCTGAGCCCTGGATTGGGATTCAGAACATGTTACTCTGTGACCTCTGAAGCGGAGCGTGCACAAAAGCTGATAGAAGCAGATTAGTTCTTTCTAAATGTCTTTATTTATCAGATCTGTAAATACTGGTGGATGATTTGTGAAATGAGGTTATAATGAATCCTCAGTAAAGCTCTCTCTTTTTAAACAACATCATAAATAGAGGAAAAGCCAGAGTATGGAAATGTAAGAAATAAACTATAACTTGCCTGAGTCATATATAAAAAAATAATGTAATTGTGACAATTTAAATTTTTTGCTGGATTTTTCTGGATGCTTTATTTTTGAGTTTTTGATTAATTATTATTATTATCAATTGTTAATATTAGATTCTTCTTCATTAGATTCTTATTGCTAAAATTCTGTTTTTTTTTTGTTTTTGTTTTTTTACAATATTACAGTAAAATTACTGTAATGCAATTTTTTTTAAATAAAGAATTTTAAGATTTTTTTCACATTACAGAATATTTGGAGAAAACGGAATTTCTTAGAAAAAAATGACGCATATTTTTAGGGTCATCAATGTTTTTTGTTTTTCTCATTACAGAAATTTTTTGGGAAAATTTAAGTGCTTATGTCAAAAAAAAAAGGTCCTAAAAATAGACTTTCTTGTCTTTTCATATTTGGGGAAAAATATAAAGGCTTATTTGTCATGCAAAAAAATTCAATGCAGGAAAAAAAACACTGTCTTTGCACAAAAAAAATGAAGTCTATTTTTTTTAGGACCATTTCTTTTTCTTATTACATTTGGGGGAAAATTGAAGTGAATA